TTAAAAATTATGTCAAGAATTACCTTCAAATTTTCCAGGAAGATGTACTGCTCTTTACAGTTGTGCCTCTTGTAGATTATATGTACCACATGCTCCAGCCCACACTTGTAGCAGCTGGGGAGCTGTGGGCTCCATTCCCTCCGCCTGAGCACATGCTAGGGCCACAGAGCAGCCTGCTCCAACCCCAGTCTCACTGTGCACATCTGGCCAGAGCCTACTTGTTCTTCAAAGTTCACCTTCAAACATCCCTTTTTAAAGAGCCTCGTCTGTTAGGATTAGTTGTGAATTGTCTCTCACAGGGTCATGTTCTGAACATTCAATTCCCAACCTATTTTGAAGGTCAGGGAGCTTTTAAGAAGCGAGACCTGACTGGCAGAAGTAGGTCCCTGTGATCTTAGAAGGTCACAAACGCCTCTGCCCTGGTCTAAGTCTCTGTTTTCTGCTTGCCACCACGTGAACAAAGCTGCCTCCTCTTTCCTTCTGTCACCGGTGGGACCACTGTGTTTCCTCCATGAGGGACTCAGTCCCTCCAGCATTGTGATCCAGGAGATATTAGTCTTCCTTTAAATAGTTTCTGTCCATTATTTTGGTAATAACAATGAAAAGAAACATAAAATGAAACACAGTTCAAATACTGCTGAGCCTAAGGGATGTGGTGTGTCGGAAGGAAGTGTAGTCAACTCACGCAGAAAAAGCTGGCTGACACTCTGCTGGGTTTTCCTCCTTTGCATCAGTGGAAAGATGGATGGTCCCAGGTAAGTACAGGTCCTCAAAGACATAGACTCCTGTCTTTCTTCTCTCTATTCTCTTATCATGCTGACTTTTCACCCCATGGTGGCAAGGTGGCTGCAACAGTCACGTTCAGTTAAGGAAGAGGAGAGGAGGTGGAGGCAGCCATGTCTGAGCTTTTTTATTAGGGAAGCAAAAAGTTTTCTTTCTTAGACCAAATACGGATCTCATGGCTATCCTCTAGCTTCAAAGCAGAGCTGAGAAATCCGAGAGCAGGACTGTCCTCGTGTGTATTCTGGACCCAAACTAGACCAGGGTTCTATTAGCACAGGGGATAGTGGGGAATGGAAAACAGAGAAGCTCCCTGTGCTCGGCCCAGTTATGTCCGACTCTGGCATCTCTTGTTGAAGTGGAGGATCCCTGTGAGTGAGAGATATTTGTTTTTCTTCCTATCCCTGATATATAACATAGCACCTGGCACACGGTATATGCTCAATGAATATTGGTTATAAGGCTATTCCTGAATCTGAGTCTGTATTTCACCACATACATTTTGATATAATTTTAAAGTATATATTACAGTGATGTTTATTTAGCCTAGCTCACTCTTTAATAATATGAGTTATTAAACTCATTAAACAAAAAAAGTCAATTTGGTCCCATTTAGGAGGACACAATTTCTTCGAGGTTGTACCACTCCAGTGTTCAGATACAATATTCTCAGAGAACTGCCTGGGAGTCTTCCTGCTGGAACCCAACATGGCAGAAGCTCTATGAGACACTCGTGGACCAACCCTCCATCCTTTTGTGTACTCGCTTCACCTTGCAAAGAGCTTTGGCCTGAGGAGCCTGGCTCTGCCTCATAGAAGGCAGCAGTGAGAACACTCGGTAGATCCCTCCGTGCCCCACTCTAAAAGACCTGATGTAAGTCCAGGGCATGGGCTGGGATGTAGCTCAATTGGTAGAGTGCTTGCCCAGCACACACAGAACCCTGGATTCGACCCACAGCGCTGCAGAAACAGGTGTATTGATGTCTACCTGTCGCCTCAGCACCGGGGAGGAGGAGAAAGGAAGGGGATCAGATATTCTAGATGATGCTCAGCTACCCAGGGAATAAGGCCAGCCTGAGCTACATGAGGTCCTGTCTCAAAAAACAAAAATGTCCTCAGCAGAACATTTTTTAGCTCATTGTGTTCCCCCTGCTTTTTGCACTCTTAGTGCAGACAGACTACAGTGTCTCTAGGAAGCCATCTAAAGCAGACTCCCAGAGTCCTCACAGCAGCCTCCCTCCATATTGCATCTTGTCACCATGTCTCCAATTCATTCTGAACTGTTCAGCTATCTCTGTGTCTGTCTCCACACTATGTCTAGAACAGGACTTCTCAACTTATGGGTGCAACGCCTTTGGGGATCAAACAATCCCTTCACAGGGTCTGCATATCAGATATTCTGCATATCAGATATTTATAATTATATATGCATATTATAATTCATAACATTAGCAAAATTATAGTTCCAAGTAACAATAAAAATTGTATGGTTGGGGGTCACCACAACATGAGAAACTGTATTAGAAGGTGGCAGCGTTAGGAGAGCTAAGAACTACTGATGTAGACTATTGTCTTTTTTTTAATTGATTTTTATTGGGCTTTACAAAATTTTTCTCTACTCCCCTTGCTGCCTCTCCCCTCCCCCCTTCAACCCTCTTCCAAGGTCCCCATACTCCCAATTTACTCAGGAGATCATGACTTTTTCTACTTCCCATGTAGATTAGATCTATGTAGTCTCTCCTAGTGTCCTCGTTGTTGTCTAAGTTCTCTGGGATTGTGGTTTGTAGGCTGGCTTTCTTTGATTTATGTTTTAAAACCACCTATGAGTGAGTACATGTAATAATTGTCTTTCTGTGTCTGGGTTACCTCACCCAAAATAATGTTTTCTAGCTCCATCCATTTTCCTGCAAAATTCAAGATGTCATTATTTTTTTCTGCTGTGTACTACTCTATTGTGTAAATGTACCACATTTTCCTTATCCATTCTTCAGTCGAGGGGCATTTAGGTCATTTCCAGGTTCTGGCTATGACAAACAGTGCTGCTATGAACATAGTTGAGCACATGTCCTTATGGCATGACTGAGCATTCTTTGGATATATACCCAAAAGTGGTATTACTGGGTCTTGAGGAAGGTTATTTCCTAATTTTCTGAGAAATTGCCACACTGACATCCAAAGGGGTTGTACCAGCTTGCATTCCCACCAGCAATGCAGAAGTGTTCCCTTTTCCCCACAACCTCTCCAGCATAAGTTGTCATCAGTGTTTTTTATCTTGGCCATTCTTACAGGTGTAAGATGGAATCTCAGAGTTGTTTTGATTTGCATTTCTCTGATGACTGAGGATGTTGAACATTTCCTTAAGTGTCTTTCAGTCATTTTAGATTCCTCTGTTGAGAGTTCTCTGTTTACGTCTATACTCCATTTTTTTCTATTGGATTATGTGTTCTTTTGGTGTCCAATTTCTTGAGTTCTATGAATATTTTGGAGATCAGACCTCTTTCTGATGTGGGGTTAGTGAAAATCTTTTCCCATTCTGTAGGCTGTTGTTTTGTCTTGTTGACCGTGTCCTTTGCTTTATAGAAGCATTTCAGTTTCAGGAGGTCCCATTTATTAATTGTTTCTCTCAGTGTCTGTACTGCTGGGGTCATATTTAGGAAGTGGTCTCCTGTGCCAATGCATTCAAGTGTACTTCCCACTTTCTCTTCTATAAGGTTCAGTGTGGTTGGCTTTATGTTGAGGTCTTTGATCCATTTGGAATTGAGTTTTGTGCATGGTGATAGATTTGGGTCTATTTTCATTCTTCTACATGTTGAAATCCAGTTATGCCAGCATCACTTGTTAAATTTGCTTTCTTTTTTCCATTTGATATTTTTTTCTTCTTTGTCAAAAATCAGGTGTTCAAAGATGTGTGGATTGATATCTGGGTCTTCTATTTGGTTCCATTGGTCCTCCTGTCTGTTTTTATGCCAATACTAGGCTGTTTTCAGTACTGTAGCTTTGTAGTAGAGTTTGAAGTCAGGGATTGTGATGCCTCTAGAAGTTCTTTTATTGTACAGGATTGTTTTGGCTATCCTGGATTTTTTGATTTTCCATATGAAGTTGAGTATTGTTCTTTCGAGGACTATGAAGAATTTTTCTGGGATTTTGATGGGCATTGCATTGAATCTGTATATTGCTTTTGGTAAGATTGCCAGACTATTGTCTTGTTTCCAGCAAATGGAACATATCCTTCCATTCTTAGCTCTTCCCAAAGCCATCTTTCAGTTTTTCTGGGAGACCTTTTTCTACAGGGCTTGTGAGCCTGTGCCACTGCACTCTTTAGACTTCTCCAGTCCTTTCCTCTTGTGTTTGGGATAAAATTTGACCTTCTCCACCACTGGGCTGTCTATGCCTTCAGTCTCATTCCTCCCACACTTGACTTTCTTATGTAACAATAAGAAGCCACTTAGCCATCGCTTTGGAAACCCTGCATCTTCTCAACTGCTGGTTTTGTTCTTGAGGACTGACTGTGCCGATGGTACCCTCCTGTACCCACATTTTCCCATTTGCTGTCTGACTATTTGTTTATGATAGGGTCTCATGTATCTTAAGTTGAACTTGAAATTGATGTGTAGTCAAGGGTGAACTGCTGGTCCTCCTGCCTCTACCTCATGAGTTCTGGCTATGTGACACCACACTCTGGTTTTATAAGATATTAGAGACCAAACCCATGCATCATACATGGTAGGCAAAGCACTCCACCAGCTAAGAAGCATCCCCAGCCTCAACTGTTGCTATTTTTTTAATACTCACCTGGTTGTAAAACCTTTCCTGACTATGCCTCGCTCTTCCCTAACTCAGATCTGTGCTCTTCATTTTCTGTACATCATGTTAAGAATTTCCCAGTGTCCTTCAATCTGCTCTGTAAACGCTAACTTACACCGCTGCGGGTGTTGGTATTTAAGATCCCTCCTTGTATTCTCAGTGCCTAGCAGAACAAGCAACCTGTTTGTGTCTCTTGAGTTGTGGAGTGATTGAATGGATGGATGAGCAGGTGACAAGAGGAAAGGGTGGCTTTCAGACACATCAAATGGGCTGAAATGTCTTTGAATCTAATTTTGACTTAGCATGGTGTGATAAAGTCAGGATCCCTATTCCTTTACGCCTGTTTATTTTTACCACAAATGCTATAAATTCTGTGTTTTATTCCTATTAAAGATATATTCTGCATTTAATTTTTAGGTTAAAGCCATTCACATCCATTGTGACATGTTCTCAGTTCAAAATGGTTTGCTGACACCAACACTAAAGGCTAAGAGACCCGAGCTGAGAGAGTACTTCAAAAAACAAATCGAAGAGCTTTACTCAGCCTCCATGTGAAGCTCATGGAGGGTCCTACTCGGTCCAATGAACTTCGCAGCAATATTACAGTTATTCCCGAAAGACAGGAAGCTGAGTGACGCAGCTGAAAATGAAAGAGCACCCTTGCGACTGAGCCTTTCCTGACCCAAGACGTCTCTAACAATATTTTCTCTACCATCACCAAGTACACTTTATTTTTATTAAATGATATTGTAGCAAGCTGCTAAAAAATATCACAAATGGCAATGTAAAAACAAATCAAGACATTTTCTCAAGAACTGTGTACCACTAAAAGTAATATATTCTCAATGTTCACAGAATTCCATTAAACATAAAGGAAAAAAAACATAACTGATATATTGTACTTAATTATTTGTAGAATATTAACTAGATACTGCGAATGTCTAGGCAATGTGGACTACCTCATTAAATAACTGACAAAGATCACAGTTAGATCAGACTCAAAACTTAGAGCAGGAAGTAGGAAGTCATGCCCAAACAAAACATGATAGTTCACACGTGACCTGACTCCCGTCCTCTATCATGGCCATCCCTGTTGATGAAAGAGCCTTCCCTCTGATTTTTACTTTTATTTATTAAAAAAAATGAAAATGTAGATGTTCTTTTTAAAATATTATATTTATTTATCAATTCCCAAAGGTCTTTCAGCACATTTTCTCATTTCTCAAGCTCACTGAAATATCCAGAATCTATGTACAGATTCTATGTGTGTATTTATGGACTTCTTACCATAACGAATTCAAAAGATGTCTGTTGACTGCAGCAAATGGATTCTTGGCAGACACTTAGGGGAAGGAACTCAGTGATTTCTCAGGGTGGGTGACAGTTCGTGTACCTGTGTTCCTGCTAGAGTCTTCCCCATTTCCATCTTTAATATGTCTATACCAGGTCTGGGAAACTCAATATGGCTGAACTTCTGAACATTTTTGCTTTCTTTTTATATGACTATAAAGGCAGACATGAGGAGGAGTAGATGCTATTTCTGAATGAAATAACTCTTCAATGACACGATGTGAAAGCACTTCTTCAGAATTTTCCTAGAAAACTACTTAAGGCCAACATAGAAAAAGACCTGCTAATGGTATAATTCCATTCTTAGAATCTCTATATGTACTAAGTTTGACCATTAAACCTTAATTGTACCACATTTTTAGATGCATCCTGAATCTAGATGCCAAGATTCTGATGTCACTAAAAGCCTCGATTACATGGACAGCTCAAATTGTATGCTTGGAGGAGGGCAAGCCCCTAGGGAAGTCTCTCTCCTCTGATGGAACAGGACTCTGAAAGTATATGAAGAATTCATGAAGTCCGCGTGATCTTTCCACGTAGATATATAATCAGTGTGGCAGGACAAGAACTCCTTAGCCCTAGAGGAAACCCAGCATGGTTTGGAAGTGAATGTTGTCAGCACAGCCTGCATGATCACACAGGCCTATTGGATGGTCCCAACCTGTTTGTAAGCGAATGCTATCAATCAGAACCTGCATCATTGTGCAGGCCTGTTGGATGGTCTATATCAATGTTGGTTCACACGTTTCAGTCATGTTGAGTCTTGAACTCAGCTTTAAATGACGTAGTTATTCAGGTACTTTTTTAAAATTCAGGTACATTCCTTGGGTATAATTTCTCTGAAGACTCAATGTTGCACCTATAAATTTGGCTTTGAATAAATGATCAGATTCTGTTCACATTAATGTCTTTCACAGTGTGGAGGATCAGAACCAGGGCCTTGCACATGCTCAGCAAGCGCTGCGCCCCTGAGCTCTGCTCCCAGGGTGAAGTAAATTTGAAAGACATTTCTGACTAGACAGATAACACATCCAGAGCCGCATGTGAGAAGCACAGGCTCTTTAGATACTTCACACATATTTGATAATTAAAATTGAAGACCATTACCTGAATTAGATACTCATATTATTTTAAGGGCAAGGAATTTTGCACATCAAATAAAAGAAGCTGCTTTCCATTGTCTGACTACTTGATGAAAATCTCATAGTTGGCTTTGATTCCAGCAGAATTTTTGAACAGTGCAATTTAAGCAAACAATTGAAAAACTTATCCTTATTATATTTATTCTTTGTTTCAGTTAGATGTGATTAATTGTTAACAACCTTTGTTTGTTGTTTGTTTCTCAAAAGATTCTGTGTTTCTATTGAACTTCCCAATCTGTGTGGGGGCTATTTATGGGAGGGCGCAGATGTGCTTAGAAAGTTACAGTGGGCCTTAAGTTCATCACATGTCCTCTTGCTCCTCTGTGAAACACTACTTAACTTTGTAACAAAAAAAGAAATGAAACAGTATGTTATCAATGAAAAACTCCTTGTTTCAGATTTCTCAATCTTATCTCAGGTGATGAAAAACAAGTTAGTGTTTCTCTTTAACCAATATAGGAAAAAGGCTAAGCACTTAAGACTTGTCATAATCCCAGTGGGCACCCTATACTGTTTAAAGTCTAGAGGCCACAGAAACTTGATTCTTTAATCATAAATATGTTCTTAAATGTTTGGCATTTTTATCTATTTGTCACTCAAATGTGTTACTAATTCTCACATTTTTTTTTACAAACCAACCCAGTTGGGGTAAACACTATAAAACAGATATATACATTGCCCCATTTGCTACAAAGGATGTCTTTATAGGTAGTATTGAGACTTCCCCTCCAGGTGGCAGAGAAGACTGACTGGGTGTGGTCTGCAGGCCTAGCTCCATGTATTAGGATCTTAAACTCACAGGTTCAAGAAGTAGCCATACCCTGAACAGGGGAACCCCCCAAAATTTCCATTGAGAGTTTTACAGACAGGTAATGTTTTAGCAATTTGAAAACAACACTTAAAATTGATTGTATTGCCTATGAAAGAACCAATGGTCATTAATTTTTCTGCCATAATAAATGAATTGTTTTTTATGTTTTACATATATTAAGCACAAGTGTGATACAGTTATTTAACATGCAAAATACTAGAAAATGAATGTTAAGAATGGAAAATTATATTTTTTGCATGAAGACAAACTCCTTACAAAATTGCTTAATATCTCAGGACAAAAGAATGAATAACCATATGTAAAACTGATCAATTAAAAGTTGGCTGTTTTTATTTTAAGAAAACACTACAATGATAAAAAAGGATCCTGACAGTCTTCAGCTCTCTCTTAAGTATGCTGCATAATCCTGCCTGTGAACCTACAAATAATGCCAAGAGAGTGAGATCAGCAAACATGAGGACCAGTCCCTGAATGAGAATCTCCCCATTGAGAATATGTTAATGGTTGTACTGCGGAGGTGATGCACACTTGAAAGTGTAAGCAAGCGTTTCTAACTCTAGTCCCAAACACACAGGGTTTTCAGGAGGTAATACACCACTTAAGCACTCATCTGACCGCTCATTTTACATTTCCTTGTTAAATCATTGCAATGATTGCATGGGGAGGGGAAAATGGCTAATTTGAAGAATTGCTTATTCTACTTTCAATTTTTGAAAATCAAGGAATTAAGATATTACTTTTTAAATATGCATAGATGTACCTTAACTGTAATTATATTTTAGTTTGCTTTGTTATAACGGCATGAACATCAAATACAAAATGCACTCATGAACACTTTTGTAAAAAATAAAGTTTTTTATTTCTCAAAATTGTTTATAATTTCTTTCTGTATTCTGTGCTTATATGATGCAATTACCTCATGGGAATGTATTTGATAATCATCTATATGGTATATTTAGTACCCAAGCATGAAACTTTTGCATTAGCATATTCTTCATCACCTGTAAGTGTTCTCAAACTTTAAGCAGTTAGACATAATTAATTATGGACAACTTACGTACACTCAGAGGCTATCCTTTGTGCAGGCCTTTGCTGGAATCCACCTTGCTATTACCAAACATGTCCTAGATTTAAATAATTTTCAGTCTTCCAAAGAACAATAACTCCTCAAATTTTTCCATCATGATGATGGTCTTTAACATTTCCACAATGTCATCAAATCAACTATAAAGTTAAAGAAAGATATTCTTTCTTTCTTTCTTCTTTCTTTCTTTCTTTCTTTCTTTCTTCTTTGCGAGACAGGGTTTCTCTGTGTAGCCTCAGTTGTCCTGGAACTTGCTCTGTAGACCAAGTTGACCTTGAACTCAGAGATCCCCCTGCCTCTTCCTCCCAAGTGCTGGGATTAAAAGCATGCACCACCACTGCCTGGCCAAAGACAAAATTTCTTAAAATGGTTCACTCTACCACGTCAAGTCTGTGCAGATCCTGTCCTCACGTATTTGCTCTTATCTGTTTCTCTCTGGTCTCACAACTATTTGTATAGTCTAAGCTACCTTTGTTGTTGGTTTGAAACAGTACAGTGCTTTATGAAAGCAGTCTTCAAGGTTCCACTTCACTTTCCCAGGTTTTGCCATGACATCTTTCTGAATTGAAAATCTGGTCACAATGCTTTTCTTTCCATTATTTCTTTGAATCCTTCCCATGGTTTCCAGAATGAAGTTCTGACTCCCTGCTTCAGTTCACAAAGACTACTGTGTCTTCTCCTGCCACTTCCTTATGGAGTCTTGGCTCCAATTGTACCAATGACTCTCCTTCTGCCTCTATGCCTTGGCTCAACTTCTGCCATTTTTCTTTGAAAATTAAGCTTTAGGGCTAGAGACATAGCTCAGTGGTTGGGAGTACTCAGTACTCATACAGAGGCCTGGGGGTTGGTCCCTAGTATCCACATCGTGGCTCACAACTCCTGTGCTTGTCACTCCAGTTCCAGAGCATCTGATGCCCTATCCTGGCCTCCACACTTTCCTGCATCTACATGGGACACATGAAACTCACCCAGGCACAGACATACACATATTTAAACAAAACAAATGTAAGCTCCAAGATTAGAAGCTTTCCAAGTGATTCATTGGTTGATAGTCTCTTTGCCCCATCCCCACTGGGACAGTTGCTTCAGGTTTTAGCTTCAGTGTAAAGAGTATAACCAACAGTAGGTGCTCAAGAAATGTCTATTAAAGGAAAATCCCCATGGCCCTAATTTATGTTTCACTGAATTATGACTGCAGTATCTAAATCTATAGTTTATTTTTTTATCTATCTTTGTAATTTCTTCCATTCTTGTAATCTAAGCACGTCTAAACTGCTTTCATTTAGCTCCCTGACACCCATGGATATCACTGTAACAAAGCCTCTCAGTGTATTACTCCATTAATCAAACAAGCGCACAACAAACAGATCATGCCATTAGATTCTCTTTGGGTTTCAAGGACTGCAAACCCCACACACTGGTTGTTTACAAAAAAAAAATAATAAAAAGCCTTCTTCAGAAGTCTCATCCACATCTGAACCTTGTTTCCCCATAGAAGTTCAGATCTCTGACTGTTGCTAATCTAGTCTAACTCAACATGTGTTGAACCTGAACATGGCCTATGGTGGGAGCAGTAAAATGGACGAGTGGAAGAAGTTCCCGGGAAGCCTCACTTGTGAATACTTGCACAGGCTGTTTGCTCTTGGAGATGGAGAAGAGAGAGCCATGAGAGAGTTGAGATGTCTCTGCCTACCTCACTTTCTTGTGGGGAACTTGTTTCTTTTCCCTTAAAAGTATTTTATTTTGGTTCTGGTGTAAGTCTGTGCACCACCTGTGTGCAGTGCCCAAGGAAGCCAATAGAGGGCATCATATCCCCTGGAACTGGAGTAAACACAGTGTTTACAGGTTTACAAACCCTGATCTTCTGGAAGAGCAACCAGTGATCTTAATCACCAGCCCATCTTTCCAGTCTGTCTTTTGTAGGGTGGTTCGAGGGGAGGCTGTAAACAAAACATTCTATCTCAAGTTTCTTCCCTTCTCTTTACCACTAAGAACTGCAGGCACCTCTCCTTATTGCTCTTGCCTCTTTCCTTTCCCTATTAGGAGGGATGAAAGCATGACCAGTTTGCTAGACAAATGCCCAGGCAGCTATGCTACCTATGGCAACCACCTGCCTTAATGAGTTTTCCTGGGACTTGGTTCCCTCAGCTGGAAAGTGTGTGTCGTGCCTAGATGCATGTGGAGGCAAGAGGGCAACTTTTAAAAAATTATTTTTATTTTGTGTGTAGGAATGTCTGTGTCCAGGGAGGTGAGAAAAGGGCATGGGGTCCAGTGCCAGCCTAGACCATAAATTATTTCTTGGGCCAGCAGGGAGGCATGGGAATAAAGACACAACTCACATGGGTTTATCAGGAGGGAGATTCTCAGTGATCCCTCATGAAATCCTGAGTTCACATCCTGAAAATTCACCCGCGTATATTCTCCAAACAGCTTTTATACCAACACGTAAACTGAGGGGGAAATTCATTAGTAGTCTGTCTCCAAGGTAACCAGGTAAATGTCTGAGGTCATGTCCACACCTATCTATGCCTGCTTGGTCACACCTTCCCATCTTCCTGCTCTGTATGCCAGCTCTGTCATGTAGGCTGAATTAACATCTCTTTTCCAGGTGTCCTCCAAATTACAAAAAAGGAGCAGGACAACATTATCATATCCTGACCGTTTGTTCAGAATGGCGTCAGTGTGGAAGGCTAGGTGACCACCTGTGTGGCAGGTGCAACTTACCTGAAATTCTAGCTGCCATATGAAGTAGAAATATGGGCTTTTTAATATGGCCCTACACACGGGATCCCCCAGGACTGGAGTGATAGACATTTATATTATATTTATCTGTATGAGTGCTGGGAATTGAACCTGGGTCCTCTGCAAGAGCAGCCAGAGCTTAACCACTGAACCACCTCTCCAGCCCCCAGAGAACAATTTTTATGAATTGGTTCTTTTCTTATATCGTGGGTTCTGGGGATGCAATTGTCAATTTTGCACACACAAAAAAAAACACTTTTAAAAGATTTTTTTAAAAAAAATTATGTGTATGAAAGTTTTGTCTGTATGTATGTATTGTACCACAGGAACCAGAAGGAGGTATCAGATCCCCTGGGATTGGAGATATAGATTATTCTAATCATCTATGTGAATGTCGAGAAGTGAACCCAGATCCTCTCCAATATCAGGAAGTGCTCTTAAGCCACTGAACCATCTCTCCAAACCTCAAGACAAAGTGTTTTTATCTACTAAGACATCTCACAGGTCCTAGTTCCTAAAAACTTTACTTGTTAGCACTTGGTGAATGCTTTCATTGGCTTTGGGGAAATGGTCCCTATCTCAATAGAGTGCTTGCCTAGTTTGCACCAAGGCTGGAACCACTAGAATATAATTGGGTACTGAGACACCTGTCAGTAATAACAGCACTTAGGAGGTAGAAGCAGGAAGATCAGAAGTTTGTGATCATTCTTGGCTACATAGCCTGATCTATATAAAACTGTATTCGGGGAGGGGAGGGGGCAGGGAATAACCTTTAGGGAGTTGGGCACTGTAGTGCATGCCTTTAATCCCAGCACTGAGGAGGTAGAGGCAGGTGAGTTCCAAGGCTCCCACACATCATTTAAGAACTGCAGTGGGTTGTTTGTACCCCAAAGCAATGAGAGGAGCCAGGAGAGTTGGTATCTGAATGAGAGACTGCCTGTTTGCTTGTTATGGGTGTGACTCAAGAGAAAATGTTGGGACTGTGATTACTACTCAGAGGACAGCAAGACTGTAAGATCCCTGACTGAAGGACCCGTTGTTACTTATTCATGTGGCCAAGACAGTGCCTAACGCAGCAAGGTGCTCAGCCAACACTAAGTCAGTGACTCAAAGCACCAATACATCTAAGCAGGCAAGAACGCCCATAAAGATCCCTCTGCTATTTACAAAGTCATATTTTGATGAGTAATAGACTGCTATAAATGTTTCCATGGGCTGATTTTCAGTTGTAAAACTCAGTGTAATTTTATTATGAAAATTCAGTTTGTGTTCACATACATTGGGATCTCGGGATAAGAGATGGCTTAGCTGGTAAAGTGCTTTACACATAAACAAGAGGACCTGAGTTCAGATCCCCTGTATCTTCTTAGAAAAGCTGACAGGGCAGTGTGCATCTGTAAGCACCTTGTTGGAGAGGCAGAGAGCGGAGGATGTCTAGAGTGTGCCAAGAAGGCAGTCTAACCAAATCAGTGAGCTCCAGGTTCACTAACAGACTGAATCTCTAAACAAAACAAACGAAGAGGCCGGGCCGTGGTGGCGCACGCCTTTAATCCCAGCACTCGGGAGGCAGAGGCAGGTGGATCTCTGTGAGTTCGAGACCAGCCTGGTCTACAAGAGCTAGTTCCAGGACAGGCTCCAAAACCACAGAGAAACCCTGTCTCGAAAAACCAAAAAAAAAAAAAAAAACAAAAACAAAAACAAAAACAAAAAACAAACGAAGAGTGGTGGTTAAGAAAGTCCTCATATGTACAGAGCATTGGGGAGGCACAGAAAAGCCTTCGAGCCCTTCCTAATGTCATCGCTACAGACTGCATTTTCAATATTGTCAAAGGCTGCGTTTTCTTAAGACTAAAAAGATGGTTGCCACGTGCTCAATATGCTTATCAGATGGAGCCTTCACTAACAAATCTGCCCTTTGTCTTCCTGCACTGAGTGAGGCTAAACTCCCATCTTCATTCCTTAAGCACAGAAACCCCAAACTCCGCGGTTGGGGGTGTCAAGGCGGTGTTCAGAAGAGCACTGTATGAGTTACAGGT